ATAAAAGTTTTACAAGGTCAAGTGAGTTTTGTAGGTATAGACGGTTTCCAGCCATATACCTCTCACTGCTTTAAATGTCTCCAAAATCTTTCAGTGGGTCTAACCTGAGACCTCATTGCAAACTTCGCTAACGCTCCAGCAAATTGGTTGTCACTAAGTGCTTCAACTTGATTTTCTTTTCATATTTTTGTTCTTCTGTATATTTTGTATCAGCGACAAATTTTCTAAGCGAAGCACCCAGCTGTCTAGGAATATTTGTAATTAATTATTTTTCTAGTCATTTTCTTAGCTTACCCGTCTTACCACTGAAAAATGCTTCCAAAGACGCATATGATATTTGAAAGTTTAATTTCCGTAGGAACTTTTATACATATTTTGCGAAATCACAAAATTGACAAAAATTGGAAATTGGTAATAACAATATTTACAGCTTCATTCGACTTTATCATAAAACAAATTCGCGAGATTTTGCTAGACGCTGTAAAGTTATTATTTATGACATTGTAAGGATCCAATTCGAATTTTTAAATTTCAAATGAATTCCCCGCGCGCAAGAAACAGTTGGTGAGAAGAAGAAAAGAAGGTTGGTAATCAACCACACCAAGAAAGAGAGGCATGCGCAAATGTTAGGGTAGTTTTGTCTCGGGTAAAATCGGCCACTTCGCTTTGACCGCTTGGAACAAACGGTCGACTTCTTTTCGAGCGCTTCGAGCAACAGGTTGTATTTTTAATTGTGAATTATTCTGTGCCTTTTGCTGTTGTGTTTTGTTTTTCCAGTGTTGATCTGTTCCATTGGAAAACCTAGCAGCCTCGTTGAGCCATTGGGTGTTCCTGATTTCTCATCGTTCTTACGACGAGGTTTTTGTGTTCCTGTTGGCGGTAAGCCGTGTCGAAATCTTCGCATCTTTGGAGAGGTATGTTTTGAACACCTGTTTGGCGGCGAATTTCAAGCCCCGACGATGCTTCTGGCCTCGTGACATCGACGCGTGCGCTTTTTTTCCACTAATCTCGTTTTTTATCTTTCATTTAAAATCCATCGCAGTAGGGCTTTACAGGAAGTGATTTCTAGTTCGGGCCATGCTTTATTTAGCTATATTTGTGAAATCTGTATTTTGGATGGCGGCAAACGAGTTGTTATTTTCACCGTTCTTTGTTCAGGCAGCGGCCATTTTGAAGCGTCCATTTTGTTTCTTTTAAACGAGCACATGTTTTAACTGAATCTATTGAACAAATTAACAAACATTGTGGGTCATGGGGGGACGTGCCTTCTATTCCTTTTATTTAGCCCATCGTTTATACAACGCCACAGGATTCATCGTATTTTGCATCGCATATTTTCGACGCCTATTATTTGGAATGACGAATTCGTCCAACGCCATTTTGCAACTGCAGATTGTCTGCCATGTTTGTTTATGTGTTTTGTTTGGGGAAATGTATGTGTAATAATGGCCCACAATGCATTTAAATAATTTCACGTTTGAATTTTAACCAATAACTTGACTGGACACGAATTAATATTAATCACATGTAAATCTGTTAACTTTACAATCTTTCACCTCATGCAATTTGTCTTTGTCTCACAATTTTAGCTTCAGTAATTTTCTTTGTTGTATAATTTGAATTGAACGTAAATTTCCATGCTCTACAGTTTTGGCCTAACATGATATTTTATTTGCACAGGTTTATTTCATACCAGATCTTTGTTTTCACAAATCTTTGCTAAGTTTTGATCTTGTAAATGTTTTGTTGATTAATGTTTCTATCATGTAAATTATCTGATGTCCAAATTTAATCTCAATTAAGAATCATTTGTTGTTGAATTTTCGTAAGAGTGTGTGGCGAATTTAAATGTTGTGTATTGCTCTTTGTTGAAACTTTAACACTTGTTCGGTTGTCATTTAATATTAGAGTCATAGAGATTGAACATTTAAATAGAATTGGAGGTAAATAACACGATAACACGTAGTGTCGGCGATGGGCGCAGTTCCTAGTTGAGGTAGCGGAATGTGTCGCGCTCTCTGCACATATGTGCAGGCTTTGAACTAGATTTCAGTGGGAACGGTCTTGACGACGAGGTAGTAGTTGACGAGACTTCACCGCTAGTTTTAGGCCGAAACGGCCTGCTTGGACAACATGTTCGTAATGGAGGGGTGATGTCTGGCAGGCTTGGTGTAGATAGAATCACCGTCGCGGGGGAAACCAGCCCAGACCGGGAGCTCCAAACTTCGCTCACGCTACGACACCCCCTCTGGGTATTTTGCTGTGCTCGTAAATGAAATTGTTATATTTTGTTTTATGTTTTGTTCGATCGCCACACTCTCATAATGATTCGGGTTCTGCCATCCAATTTACATATGTGTAGGTCTTGTGTTTGTTCGGTTTTCATATGTGTATGTCTGTCAATTCGCGAGTGTTTTCTTTCACATATCTTAAGGTGTTTGAAATGTAATATTTAGGTCGTCCGGGAATAAAACCAAGGGGGTTTTTGCGCTGAGGGGTAAATCTTCGCAGCGTATTTCCCCCTGTGAGGGTGGTGCCGTTTCCCCCCCTCCAAAACAATTTCTGTTAATTATTTCTTGCGCTCTCGACAGTGTATGCACTTGTATGAAAGAACGTCTTCCCGCCACTTTTCAAAACCAAAAAAAAAAAAAAAAACACAACGTAGGTTCTCATTTGTTAGACGATCACAGCCAAGGCCAAACTTTGAATTTTTAAATTTTTCGCGGGCCTTTCAAACTGTTTCAAGGTCAAAATTTTAAGGCGGGAAGTTTGGGTTATCACAACATCATCATTTTTTACCACCGGAATTTCTTCTATCTACATGTTTTTAAAATTATACTCTCTCAATCAATTTTGATGACTCTGTATTGATGTGAAAATTTGGACGCCAAGTAAAGGAGCCAAAATGAACTGAACTTCGAGAAAATCTTGGTAGATTTGTCTACATTTGAAGAAGAATTTTGACACCCTTTTGTTATGTCATAATCAATAAGACATTTTTTTAAAGCGAAAATCCTTAGAAATCTTTTCCCGACCACATTATGTGTCTGGTTTACTCTTTGTAAACTGTTTTTCCTAACTTTAGATTTTTAAGAATCCAAGATCTGTAAGCTGCAATCTTCATTTTTTGTCATTATTATTTTCTTTTTTTAACATTGTGTTGTACTAAAATATTTACGAGAAGTTCCCCGTCTGAGATACACATTTCAAACGCAACCAACAATACAGTTGTATAACCGTCTTTGATATGGTTTTTTTTTTTAGTAAAATAACTCTTTGGTTTTGCTAATTTGAAAATAAACGTCAATAGGTATTTAGGCTAAAGGCAAAAACGAAGAATGTCAAATCAAGAATTCTGGATACTAATTTATCTACAAATCAGTGTAGTAAATATTCCAAGTGTTGCATTCATTATACTCGCTATTTATCAAAATTATATCAGTCTTTTTGTTGTTTGAGTATACTTTACGTTAGTTCTGTTAAAAAAGATATGAAATATCAAACGTGGTTTTAAAATTGTGTTTCTGGTTGTTTTGAATTTTTTTGGGGTGAAAACTTCGTGATTAATCCTGCATCTATTATATAACTTTATTTTATAACCAGACTTTAACTACACTTTTCACCCCTTCAGTTGTATGATTTGTGACTTCAGTGTTAATTTTGATTTTTTTTTGTTCACAACATCTGTTGCAATAGACCAATAACTTTATTTTTAATGGGCCACCATAAGTCGGGTATAAATAGCAAATTTCATTAAACTAAAATATGAAATTAAGCGTTTTTAAGAGTTTAATGGAGCTTTTATCGCCATTTTAATAATGGTTTGACAAATCCTGAGATAGGGGACCCATCGTACTTACAATGAAATTGAATACATCCGAAGATGCAGTGCATGTATATTTGATATTATATGTAAACAAAATATAATTGTGTTCTTTTAAACCAAAATTATGAGCTTTTCAAGTAATGCATCAAAAAATTGTCTTCCACACAGTCTGATCTTCTGGTATTACTATTTTTTTGTTGATAAATTCTTTCCTCCATGGAATATGGAATCCTCTGTCAAGTACAAAGTTCCTAATTCCCTATATAGGGACTTTTGTGTCAAGTCGAAATAGAATTTTACGCAAGCACTAAGAAAATTCAAAATTTAAACATGCCCCCCAAAAATAAAATGGTTCTTGCATTAAGACCTGGGTTAAAAAAAGTCTCCCAACCAGAGATTTTAAAGTGTGAAAGCAAGAGAACAGCAACAGAGCACCATATTTACAAATGTCACAAAACAAGTAACTTAACCTAACCTTGTTTTCGTATTCCACTAAAAATTCGTTGCCATGTTGCCGTATATGTTAGTGGCGGAAATTGCGACGTTGGTGGACTTTAAAAAAGTACTTTTTTTAAAAACTTCGACAGAAGAGGTACAGTCAGGGTTTTCTGATATTTTGAAAATTTTGATGAAGTCCATGCTTTATTGTCATTTTGACGTTTAAAGTTTAAAAGAGGTGTGCATCCAATATCAGCATGCCCGCAGTATCAAAAATGTCGCAACTAAAAAACTAATAAGGTGTTAGAGGTGTTTTACTACACTTGTGACAGTGGAAATACATTGATGTCCAGGATTTTCTGGTTCCGATTGTCTGTTTTCCCACTTGTCTCTATACTCTGTGGTATATAACGGGTTGCCTGCCTTTTATGTATCGAATTTTTACAATTATTGCAAAATTATTTACACTTAGTTTATATGTTTTTAGTTTTAGTTTATAATATTTTGTTTCTAGTTTTAAAATAAAAAAAAAATAAAAATTATATAATTAGTGTCTACGATATCGCTGCATTCTTTTTTTTTTCATGTAAATATAGTATATAATACATTTTATCATTAACATTTTATTCTAAACAATATACATGATCTACTTATCCGAAAAGTTCGATTTTGTGTACTTTTATGTAACTACATATTTTAAAAAAATTATTGTGGGATGCGTAGTTGAGATGTTAGCCACCACAACACCCGGCCTGTTGCCCGCCATTTTTTCAGCAAATGTGCTGCCATCTTCAAACATCATTTTGGCGTTTGGTGTACTGTTGATTGACTGAAGGCTAAAGATGTGCAAAAATTTTGACAATTTCACTGTGTTTACATATTGCAAAACGCATTATCATATTTAAATGTTGATCCGTAAGTAGTAAAACAACTATTGACGAGAATAAGGCGTGTGAAATAAGCGTTACACAAAATGATGCAAACGACGCTTATGCATCCATTGACATGAACTGAACGCCGAGGAACGTTGCACTGATGCTTCGCATTGTTAGTCTTTCTGCGTAATATTTGAGCATTTCGAAGTATGGACGAAGAAAAAAAGGAACGGGAACGGTCGAAGTCTCCTGATGGCAGTAACCCAACTAGTGAGGAACCTGTGGAAAAAGCCGACGTAAATGGTGAAGGTGAAAATCGAGACATTAGCGAAACAAGTGTAGATGAGACTGTTGCTAACCCGGTTGCGAATTCTCCAGACGAGCTAGCGAAAGAAAGCGTCGAAAAATCAGATGATTTTGTAGCCGACAAATCCAGGTCGAAGAAGCGGAAAGCAAGTGAGGCTAAAGTAGGGGACGAAAGCGCTTCAGAAGAGAGCGTTAGCGACATAAAAGACACACAGTTACAAGATTCAATAAACGTGAAGGCCGACAAAGGTAAGTTGTTATTCTGTCAAGGCAATGTTTTTAGGTTATGATTTTAGATGACTCTTCTGCAAATGAATCGTCATCAGATTTGAACATACCCCCAAAACAAACGTTAGGTAAAGGAAAAAGGGCCCGAATTCCTAATAAACGTTACAGCGATATTTTATTATCACCGCAACCACGTTCACACAAAACTAACCTTGAAAACGGTGACAAATATGAGAAGTACGAAAAGATCGAACCTGAAAATGACATCTTTAACACAAAAGATGACGAAATTGCGAGTTTACCGAACGTTACGTCTCTCAAGTCGAGGTCAAATACCAGCAGTCCAGCTGCCAAACGACTGAAATATTCCACAGATGTTACAGATCCCAAATATCGCAAACCATTTGTGTATGGTTGGAAACGAGAATTAGTATATAGGGCGACGTCTGATAATCCAAATAAACGAAATGGGGATATTTATTATTATACGCCGACGGGGAAAAAGGTTCGTTCCATGAGGGAAGTTTCAGAAAACTTGAAAAACAAAGAATTAGCTTTGGAAAATTTTACGTTTTTCAAAGAACCTTTAGGTTTAGATGACCCTGAAAAAGAAATTATTCGTGATGCAAAGGCGTGGAACAAGAAAGTGATGCCGAAAACAGGTTCAAAAACTCCAAGAGTTTTAAGTCCGAAAGTGAATAGTCCAAAAGTTTCAAGCACACCAAAGGCAACAAAAATCACTAGTCCGAAAGTTGCTCCAACGCCGGCTGAGACTTCTGTGGAACCGGCTACAACGAGGACCAAAGCATCTACTCGCAGCTTCGAAAATCTTAAGGTATCAATATTATTTGATAACATTGTCATACCGCATTACAGTCATAATTTTGTTTTTTTTTTCCACAAAGAAACAGAATGTATTGGTTTTCAGTATACAGTAGCGTTCAGATTTCAAGCTGAAATCATAATTGAAGCCAAGTCGTTGTAATTAATGTGCTTAAAATAATTTCGTATATAAGGTCGTCTTCCAGTCAGTGATCAGGCGAAGAGTAGTTATTTTTTAATCCAAAATTTAATCGAATAAATTGCATATTGATGCATTTTGAGTAGGTTTTTTTGTTTACCATTGTTAGAAAGTGGTATTGCAAATTTTGTATCTGCAAAATTCAGTCCACTTACACTAAAAAAAAAAAACAAAAAAAATTGGCAGTGTATATTGTTGAAAATTAGGAATGTTGGAAACCTAATTCCATTTTTCAAAAGACCGTCAAATATGGGACGGAACAGCTTGTAGAATATACAGTGCGATAAAAGCCAATGTGTTCTCTAAATTATTTTATTGGCAATTATCAAAGTTTAACCTTTTCATTTGTTAAATGATACGTTTATTCAAAACGTCTGCATATAATTTTTCAAAAAAGTTTGATGAAGAAGCATGTTACTGGTGTGTTCTGTGAAAATATTATCATAGTCATGACCCGTTTTATTCTTTTTAGTCATAAATCGAATATTTTAAAATTCTCATGCGAATTAAAATATGTAAATACTTCAACGTAACTTTTATCAAATTAAAATTAACGAAGAAAATATTCCTTCATGTAATTGAAGAATTTGAATTTGAAGCACACTTAATATTTGAATTGTTGGAATTTCCATAAAATGAACCTACCAAATTAAACTGAGTTCAACCTTGTTGGGTAGAGTATAATTATTGAGAATTGTTTTCAAACCAGCTTGCTTTTAAAATACAGGATGATTCAGCTTAAATGATTTGCTTATCCCTTTCTTATAGGCACCCCAACATACATTATCCGCTTACTTCTTTATTAAAAAAATCATTTCAAAATGCCATGAATCCAAGTTTGCTTTTCTTTTTTGAAACGTTAGTATATAAAGTAATACATAAACATAAGACATTTTAAAACAGTGGTTATTATTTTTCAATAAAACACAAGATGTTCAGAATAACATTCTCGATCTGACCACCTCTGGTCACAAGCCTCAGTTCCGCTCATAAAACTACATCTCACGCATTCCAACATTTCGGGACCAATGTTCTGACGTACTTGTCCAAGTTGTTCTTGTAGCTCAACCATATTTTCAAATGGCGTTGCAGATACCTTTCCTTTAACGTATCCCTATAAAAAAATAATCCAGTGGTGTTAGATCGGGATTACACAGTTTGTACACTTCCAGCTGAATCAGCCGGCATTGTCATTGACTTTAAAATCCAATGGAGATTTCTGGATTTTGATTTGATATTTTCTACCACTGCTATCCGTAGCTTGTAATAAAGTACTCATATGATTATATTTTTTGCTTGGAGATAGTTCTCGAGAACTAGCGCCAAATAAGTTGAGCGGGCCAGAAAAAAGTAAAGAGTCAGCATTCATTCACTGTTTATATTATTTTAAGAGTAAAACTTTTAAAGCGTCAAATACGAAGCAACGAATCTTTTACAAATATCTTACAGAAAGGGTACTAGTGCAATTAAGACGATGATGAGAAAAAATTCACGAAAGCATTGTTGGTATATTAAAGTAAGTTGACTTTGACCTCTCTCACAATGAACTGTTGCGCACGATTGAGAAAGAAATGGTCGAGTTGCATTTAAAATTCGGTACCCGACAGAAGTTCTTACAAGAGCGAGCCAATGTTGTTAGAAGGGTTTCAGCAGTAGGCGTTCGCTATTTGTTTTACTTTCTAATCTGGTCGAGAAAGCGGTACTCATAAAAGTAACAAATACTTTGCTGACGATTTATATGCAAAGGCTGAAATTTTGCTTTCGTTTTGTACCAACAAGATAGAAGCACAATGGTTTAAGAGAAAAGGGCCAAAGTCAACTAACTTGCTTTAGTATACTAATTTTTTGTATACAACTTCCAAAATAATTGAAAGGACAACTACTTGAGCTTCTTTCTTTTATTGTCGTTGTTTTATTTTATTTGTTTTTAATTGTATAAGCAAATCAGTGCTGACAATAAAACTAGGTTACCTAATATTGTAGACAACTCTCAGACGTTTGAAACAAAGCTACTGTTCATGTGTACAACATAAACTTCAACATTTTTATTATTTAAAAATACAACGGAAAAAATAAGCTAAACAATATATTTTTTTAGAACCTGTTAACAATTTATTTCGGTTTTAAATTTTTACTGGTTTGAGTGGTGCTATGACAGAAACGATTTTGTTTTTCTCGTGAACAAGACTGCAAATTTGCGAATGTTTTTTCGTTGTTAGCTAGGTGTTACTTCATGATTATTTTGTTCTACATTGCTGTTGGAATTTTAAAATTGTATTTTTCTTGTTTAGGGAGACTTGAATGTGTCTTGTGCTTTATTATAGTGATAGAAAGTTATTTTTTGGCGTTGTTTAATGGGAAAGATGAAATTATGTGTTGTATTTTCTTGTTAAAAAAAAGCTGCACAACCCATGAAAGGTTTCTTCGTTGCTAATATGTATGTCTTGTTTTCGCAGTGCATTTACACAAAGTCGAAATGAAAATATTTACTTTTTTTTCATACAAATAATCTTTTCTGGTCTCCTGTATAAAATTTGTTGCTTCATACTTGAGACCAAATCTATTCGCATTTGCATTTTTTTATTAATTCTTATGGAATCAAGTTACCATTCTCATCTGAACTGTTCATTTTATCACTAAGGTAACCTTTTAGTTTTTCTCACTATAACGCTAAAATATTTCATTTCTGGAAGAATTTACAGGTTAAGTTGCCTCCCAGCAAAAGTAAAGCAGAGAAAAAGGCCAAGGTGGAAAAAGAACCCATGGAAGTCGACTCACCGCCCACAAAACGAGCCGCCAACAAGAAGACCCCAGCGAAAGTAACCCCAAAGTGAGTAATTTCATCCTTTGATTAATCTTCATCTGGCGCATGCTCTATCCAACACTGCAAGGAAAACACTTCAGACATTCCATCATTACGGTCTTTAATAAATAAGTAAAGTAACTATCAGAAATTGTCTCAAGTGAGTTCTTTTTCTCGTTCTGTTACTTGTATTGGACGTAGTTTTTTGCTTCGACGCAAATAAATCACCTAATCGTTCCCCCTCGAACCCCCAATCCCTCACCACCGTCGTATTGCAGTGTAGAAATGGAGGGCAAACCGTGCCAACCATGTTCGATTCGATGCCAAGGTGTTTTGGGTATGGTACCTACTCTTCAATGTCGACTTTGCCTATGTCTCTACCATTACGAGTGTGTTGGATTATCACCGCATGTGCAGATACAGGAATACGTCTGCAAGGTACGAAGAAAAAGGTGTTTGGGAACCTTGTCGTCGAATGAGAGTCATAGTCTGAGATATGAGGCTCGAAATTTGGGGCTACAAATTTTTCTTAATATTTTTCGAGGTTTATGGTCAACGATGTTGTATCTCATTGCCTTTGTTTTGCTATATGTAGAAATATGCATGAGCAAGTTTGTTTTGAATTACGAACATCTCAAAAGTTGATTTTTTTTTATAAAAAATGCTAAGTATTTGACAAGCGGGGAAGTCATACATTTGTTATAGCAAAATTACAGAGATATACAGTTGTGATGGTTGATATCAGTGTTGTACCGACTCTACTTTATTTGTGGCATGTTCAGATCATCCTGCAAAAGATAATTTTTGATTAAATTATTTTAAATTAAAAATGCACATCAGAGTGAATCTTGTTTCATCCTGCATCTGATAGATCGACTGAATAATAATAATAATTAAAAAAAAAATGGAAAAGCAACTGGATGAATTACCGCATGCTTAATCATTTGTAATTACATTACCAGTGACTTGTATAATTTAAGAGACAGATCCTGATTTCTTTCTCTTTTATTTTTTCGCATGGTCCGAGTCTTGTATTTTTTTTTTATTATTATAGTAAACATTAATTTCAAATTACACGAAACACTAATAATTAAAAAAAAATATGCAAAAATACGACAAAATCTTGCATGGAGTTTGAATAAATAGTTGAATAAAAAAAATGGAAATGTTTTGTAAAAATGCGTTTTGTTTTAACCATTTGCAAAGTTGCGCCGGGTACTATATCGCTGGCTATACCTCAAAAAATGCTAAGAGTGAATTTTCGTGCACGAATTTCTCGCTTCAGCTCCCAGACCTGTCATGATGTGCTTATTAATTCTTCAGATGGTGTTAAAGTGGGGCCGTCGTTAAAAATCCTGATTACTTATTACAATCCAAGAGAGAATTAATTCGCACATTGTTGTCAGCAGTGTGCTCGAGAGACGATGGATGTTGTCTTAAAGAGAAGAACAAAAATGAGTAATGTTCTTTGTTGTTCTACAGAACTGTCGACTGGAACATGGTCAGAACGTCGCAACATCCGCGTCAATCGTTCTGCCGCCCCTCACCCCCATTAACACCTTGAAATCAATGACGACACAGTCGACAGTCTTGCCAACATTGCAACGCATACCGCCTGACTCACCTCAACCAGAAGCGACAACTCCTGGCGGTGTGCCGAACATGCCCCGTCTGCTTCCTTTACCCAAAGTTGCTAAAGACGCGCCCCCACCACTAAAACCGACCAAAAACAACCCCCAGAACATAACCGAAACGAAAAGTTTGGTCGGTTCGGTGACCTCGTGGTTGCCGCATAGTTCAACCATCCAAGTTGACAATATGCAGAGGAATAAAGAGAACGAGCCCGCGGAGGCTCCAAGACCACAGTACGTTGAATATTTAGCTGGTAGGAAATTTTTAATTATTCCGAAACACAATGTCGTTTCGGTGTCGCCGACGAGTGTACCTAGTAAGCAAAAACAGCTGAACTTTATTGAGAATGACTGTGTTAGTAACGATGAAGTAAAAGACGAACTATCGTCGCCTAAACGTGTTCAAAGTGGTACTACTGAAAGGACAGACAGTGTGGTGGGGGCTACTGATGAGGTAGTTACTGATAGAAGTGAAGAAAATCGTGCTGATGAAGATAGACCAGAGTGAGTTTCTTTGTGACATAATTAAATTTGATTTTTTTCAGGCAAATTCGTTTCACATTTTCCCACCTTAGTTCCTTGTCATCGTTAGGTTTTATTTGCAAAAACTGCTCCAATACATTTTGCTGTTATTTTGTTTTGTAGTGCTTTCAGCAGCTACTAAGAACATCAAACTTTAACCTACCAAAGTATAAGGTTTGAAGTTCTTTTAAATCGCAGCTTACAATTACCATTTCGTGAAATACAAAAGTAACAGTTTTCTCTCTTTTGTTACAGAACGGTTGAGTCTCCAAGGGCGAAAAGACGTGCTGTTAGATCGAATAATGTTGTGTCAAATGACAAACATGAAGAACCGAAATTTATGGACAGTTATCTTCAGAATTTGTCGTATGGTTACAATACGCTTTTGTACGTTTTTCAGTACCTTAAAGTGCAAGATTTGTTAAGAGCAGGGTGTGTGTGTACTATGTGGCGGGATATAGCAAGTCATCCGTCGTTGTGGCGAACGGTGCGCATGAAGAATTCGCAAGTTCATAGTTTTGAAGGTTTGGCGAATAGTCTTCAAAAACATGGTACTGTACATCTTGATCTAAGGAAGATGCTGTTGCCGACAAATGGAGGGGATGATATTTGGCCTGAGTTTTCCAAAGCTATCCAAAAAGTGCAAACTCTACGCAAAATTGAATTGTGCAGGTAAGTAAAGTTGTTTGTGGAAGTGGTGCACTTATGGTTTTTTGGAAACGAAAAGAGAAAGGGGTATAAATGCGCGGCAGAAATTTCCTAAACTGTTTTTTTTTAAGAGAGTAAAACACTAAATAGTTTTTATTTTTTTAATTCCTATGTAATTTTCAGTGAATTGTTTCACATGTACGATTTTAAATTTCCCGCGGTTGTGGTGCTATGCAAGATGGCGACTGTTCAACTTCAACTTTTGGGTTGTAACGTCAATCTATAATTATTTGAAGTCTTTCCATGTCAATTATCTCCAGATGTTAGAAAGTAGAAGAGTCCAGGTCCGGATTGGAACCATCCTTGCTCTTCAACGGAAATGAGCGTAATTTTATGTGTAAAATGGATAACAGTATAAAAGTAATTATCTATGCGGAACTAAGTTGCATATAAGTACGTATATAATTCGAATAAAATACATACATACAAAAAATAAGAAATAAATGCAGACATATTATGTAATATTCGTAGTACACATAAACAAATATCAGTTTGATTCTGATTCAGATGCATCTTAAAAAAACGGTACTTACCTTACTTATTCTTAAATTTAAGAATAGCTCAAATCCAACCTACCTACCTGCTAAATGTTTTCCGACAAATTTGGATAAACTAGTGTGAATAATAAATATTTCTTACCATTGTACTACTATCCATATCATGCTCGGCAATAAAATTTTATGAGGTATATTTTCGTTTCCTAAACTATTCGTGTCAAAATCATGGAGTAAACTATGGAGAGATACCACCCATTTTTTTAGACAAATAAAAAAATTGGTTTTAATAATGTAAAATACATTTTCCGACGATCTAACATTAAACTTATTATAACTACATGATTTCTCTTTAAAATTAATGCCTTAATGTACCATTTTACAAAGTAGATATGTCACTACTTTTTACAACATTCAAATGTCATTTTCATTTCAATTCATATTCCCAATGCTGTACATCGAATTAGTTTATATGTGAATGGAATCAATTTGTGTATTAAATGAAAAATTATTTTAAATATTTTGGTTTTTGAAGTGGTATAAAAGAATTTGATGTTTTCCGATTTATGAACTTCAAATCTCACTAGAAAGATATCAAGAAATTTCGCAATAAATTTACATCGATTTTCGATGTCAAATATCGGTACAGTCAATTAGTAATCGTATGAATCTCATAACCTAACAACCGGTATAATAACAACAAATAGTCAAAAAGTGTTGTGTATTTTTTAGTGTAAATTAAAATAAAATGGACATAAATAATGATAATGAAACCTCCCCAACACTTACTCCACCAAACTTCGCAGAAAATGTGAACATTGCGACAACAGATCTCATATCCAAAAAATCAAAAAAAAAGTGCGAAAAAACATACGAAGAATTTATGTTGTGATTTGAATTTTGAATGTTTTGACGATCGTACGAAAAATTTTAAGTATACGTCGTTGCTTTGCGTATAGGTAATTTGATTCTACATAGTATGACCAAACTACCTGAGATGATTTTGTTTGATGGGTTTCAAAATTACTTTGACAGTAAGTGACATTGAACAATGTTAACTAGACAGAAGTATAAAATTTGGTAGTGTAAACTTGTCTGCTATTTCCACGAATCAAAAGCAAGGATGAACGCTCCATATGCATTCAGCGCTGCATTCTTATATGAATTGAACTACAGTGTGGTTTCGTCTTTATAATAAGAAAATGTTTGGTCAGACAAACATATTTATTGCGGTCCACTTTGATATATGTAGTTGTAAAAACTATCTGAAGTTGAATAACATTCGTCTAAACTTACAAGCAAACGCTGTCAATTACTTTATGAAGGGTTATAATTTTCCGACTCTTCTTCGGATCAAGATCCTACGTAAAGCCGTCAATCAAGATTACTGGTAGGTATTTTTTGCCAGAACCGTAATCTGGTTCAACCGTCAGTTATTTACCAAAACCATATTTTCACTTCTCAGAAATTTTATAAAACCGTTCAAAAAACCAAGAGAATTGAAGACGAATACAGCTCGAAAAAAGTACCACCATTAATTATTACACTGAGACAGGAGAATGAATTCAAAGAGAGTCAGATTTTATAATTTTTTTCTATTTAATTATACTTTTTATTAAATATTACAATATTAATAAAATAAAAATTAAATACTTAAAAATTAAGCAGCATAAACATTTTTTAAATCAACGCCAAAGTTTTATCGATCTTTATTTTGGTATCTCACTTTCAGTATGTGTGTTACATACCTACTCGCTTGTTTATTCCTAAAGAATATTATTATATTTCGCATTTACCGAGTTTTCATTTAAGCGAGTGAGCTTTGCTCCAGATTACTTACTATAATCGGGACTCCATTGTCGTTAACTCCTTACATAATGAAAATAAATATTTGTAAGATTAATTCTGAGGAAGAGAATTGTTAATACAAAAGTTGTAGTATTCACAGAAAATTTTAAGTCCGGTTCTGTTGGACAGTGGCCAGAACAATACTACCTGGGATATGATTTTATTGCAAGTTGTGGTGTGGGACAGCAAATACCCCTCATAAAATAAATGACGGCTTTTGCTTATAAGTTTAGACAAACTTTGGCAATTAAGCCATAACCCCACTAGCTCTTCCGTCATACTTTATTATAGTTGGAGCAACTATATTTCGTGTTTATTTTATTAGTATTTAAGTTATCCCACCTCTCACAACCACTCGCTATTTAAAATCTGTTTACCTACCATCAACACTGCAGGACCGTCTTCCTTATTTTATTATTTAATCCTATTGCCTGTTTACGGCTACCACCATATAAACAATGTTATTTACAACTAATGCGATTTCTTTTCAATGTAGTGGTGGTTGACTTTTACGCAATGGATCCGATTTCACTACCGCCATATAATTTTAGAAGAAAGGGACAACTATAGCGTGAGTGTATAGTAGTGCAAATTCTGTACCGATTTTATGATCTGTCAAAGTGATTATGGAGTGTTAAATCTTTAGGTAAAAAGATTTACTAATACCTCGGTAAATTCGTGTCTTACTACCTACGTCAGCACCAATTTGGGACCGAAATCCATTATTAAGTCATTATGGACAAAGTTTAAAAAGCAGCCACAACATTTTTCAATAAAACTAGAACAGACTTCATACCACGAATATAGAAACAAATAAAATGAGAAAAAATTAAAGGAGACAGGCAAATTTGGTGGTCGTCTTTATCACAATCATTTTGTGCTATTATCCTAATCACTCATTGTTAGGGTGGTCTCTGTAAGATATCCTGTCGTAAAATCGGTACAGAATTTGCATCCCTATACATACTTTCATAAAAGTAAATATAACACAAAATTATGTGAACTGTTCCGTCTAATGGTGTTTTTGTGTGAACGGCTTTTTTTGTAGAATTGTTATTTGGGGAATAGTTTTTTTGAAGGAAATTATTGCTTACTTTGTTCCAAATTCAATTGGGACCCTATTTTGACCAAATTATTCTATGGTATTTCAAATAGTCAATCACACGTTTGTTTTTTTATATTACAATCATTTATTTTGTTTTTCAGGTGTCCGGCATCTGTTGTGGAGCAACTGGCCGTAACCAACAAAGATTTGGAGGTGATAAATGCCGTCACAATCAAATGTGAAAGCATGAGTCTCGATATGTTATCATCACTAAAAAATCTAAAAGAATTACGATTGAAGTCAACCAGTGGATTGACGTTATCTTCTGATATTACTTCGTTAAAAGAGCTAACAAACTTAACTCATTTATCGCTCACCTCTATTAAAGACCTTAACAAGATGAACCTCCAGGTGATTGCAGCATTAAAGAGTCTCGAATCGTTGGATCTTGGTGAATGTAGTGACTTTCCGGCTAATTTCGGAGAAGATATTTTAACAAAATTAAAAAATCTTGAGAAGCTAAGGCTAGAGAAAGGACAGGGTAATTGCCATACGTTCGAAATATTGGATGCAGTGAAACAAATGCCTCATTTAGAACAGTTGGAATTGGTTAATTTTGACATCAAAAGTGGGTTTGATGTGGCTTTAGGAGGATGCAGGAATATAAGAAAGTTGTTGATTATTCCTACGTATATTTCTCAAAGTGCTACAACAAACCATATGGTGCTGGGTGGTGTTCTAAGACTGCAAAGTACGCTGTCACATTTCGTGTGGGGAGTTACTTTAGAATTGTTGCGTGTTACCGAATTGTTTGTTGATCAGTGTGAAGACCCAGATAAGAAAGAGAAAAAAGATAAGAAACCTGTAGGGAATGGTGACAGCATTCCTGTTTTGAAACCTGTACCTTTGATTACGGACAAAAACGATACAATACCTCCAGCCCATGATCCACCGCAAGTGGAAATTCTCCCACTACCTAATCTTCAGAAATTGTTGTTGCAGAGTTTACCAACGACAAGAGTTAAGATTCTCAAAATTCCTTTTCATGCCACCTGGCGGCAGAGTATTACTGATACGGTTAATTAATTTTATAGGATTAATACATATTTTATCTAGAGTTTATTGTACTGATAGTGTAGATATAGAACTATTTTTGTTTTTACATGTTTTTTTCGAATTTTGTTTATCTTCGATGTACAATATACTACTACTTAAAAACTGTAAATTGTTTATAGCTGTAGGTTTCTACACGTAAGCTTTAGATTCAAACAAACATTAAGGTAATACACATTTATATGTCCCACATTTTTCATGTGGTTTTACTTTCCCGAAAATTTAACGTATTTATATTTTGAACCCTCATTTTTTTTGACTTTATATTAAACCTTGTACATTATGAAATTTTCAATAAATATTTTTTAAAATTTCGAAATGTAATTTTGAGTCGATACAAGTGTATCTGGCCAGAAAAAAAACTTAAATTTTGAAATTTCATGACAAAATGTCAAAACAAAAACAACGTGCAAAAATTTTTCGTTCCTACACGGAACGCCGTGTGATAACCCAAACATCCCGCCTTAAATGGACATGTGAAAAAACAATTTGAAAGCCAGCGAAAAATTCAAAAATTCAAATATTTGGCCTTGGCTGTGATCGTCTAACAAAATACAACCTACGTAGTGTTTTTTTTTTGTGGCGGAATGCGTTCAGATGTAAGTGGTTAACTCCAAGGTTGGAAAGTACCGCTAAATAAAACACAAAATATATGGAGGACACAAAACTCTTTATTGACGGTTTGAATCAATGCAAATATTTGAATATCACATATGGCAGTCAACAAGAGAACTAAATTTTAATAAAAACTCTATGATTCGGCAGCGGCACCAGAGCACTATAAGAGTGTGGCGATCGAACAATCTCAATTTCATTCGAGAGCACAGCAAAATTACCCATAGGGGGCGTTGTAGAAGAGCGGAGTTTGGAGCTTCTGGTCGTGGCTGTTCTCCTATCCACGACGGTGATTCTAGCAAGCACTGCCGCACAGCACTCCTCCATTACGAACATGCCGTACGAGCAGGCCGTTACGATCGCAAACTCGTGGTTGGGTCCCGGCTATGGACTGAAGTCGACAGCGTCACGTCATCCCAACCGCCTTTGACTTCTATTCTAACTCTGCGTCTTTTGTGCAAATGGCACGATCGCCAGCTCGACAAGGAACCGCGCACTCCGCTTCCACCACGTGTTTCTGTGTTATTTACCTCAATTCCATTTTAAATATTCACTTTCTATAACTGATATGAAACTACAACTGAACAAGTGTCAAAGTTCCAAAAACAGCAATAAACAACATTTAAATTCGCCATACACATATTCACAAAACAAAAAAACTAGCAAAGATTTATAAAAACAAAAAGATCTGGTGTGAAATAAAGCTGCTGGTGCACATAAAAAAATATTACTGCAGACCATGAAAATTTACGTTCAATTTAAATTATACAGCTAAGAAAATTACCGAGGCTAAAATTCTGAGATAGAGAAAAATGCAAAGCTAACAAAATTACATGAGGTCATATATCTAATAGTACTATATTGCTAACTGGCCACAAAAGATTCGGAAAACATAACGGTAGAGCAATATATCGGACCTCTCTGTCTCTCTGTGGTACTAAACAGTACTGCGCATGCACTCGTACTTGGTTGATTTGTAGTGGATAGCGTGACTGGATGCGTTTTGACATTTCGTACTTTCGCTTCTATTTTGTGTACATGCGCACAGACCCTCGGTACTCTTATAGACAGAAAACAACATCTTCTGTCTCTCTCTGTCCGTGAACACCGTTTCTATGTTACTTCTGAAGAGCTAGCAATATAGTACTATTAGATATATGCATGAGGTTAATAATTTATGTCCATTCGAGTTATTGGTAAAGTATTAAAGGTGAAGTTATTCAGCTGCATTGTGGGCCATCGTTTTACATTCCCTCAAACAAACACAAAAAAAAACATAGCAGGTAATCTGGAGGTTCAAAATGTCGTCGAACGAATGCGTAAAAAATATGTCTCCCTGTGGCGCTGTGCAATTAATGGTCTAAATCAAAGGAATAAAATGCACGTCCCACATGACCCACAATGTTGTTAATTTGTTCAACGAGATTTTACAGTTCAAACATGTTCTCGGTTTGAAAACACTTTTTCAGCATGGTCACTGCCAGAACAAAGAATTTACCTGATGTTAAATTATGCCACACTTTATCAACGATTCAAACAAAGAATTTACGTTATGTTAAATTATGCCATTATCCAAGTGATTGGTTACTTAAAACAATTAGCTTTGACAGTTTAATCGTGGACTATCTCCAGCTCATCCCAAACAAAACACATGATAAAATAAACACAAAATGCATCCAGTGTTGCGAGGAATATGCGTTTCGGTGATACAATTTTCAACGTTGCGAGAAAAAATGTCTCGGTGATGTGATGATGATAACCAGGGGCGGACTGGCACTTTAAAAGTGGCCCGGGCAAAAGATTTAACCGGCCCTGGAGGCGACCCTCATTTACTACTTATAGTAAATTTTTTTTGTGATATTTTGTAAAATCAACAATTTTACATTTATCTATTAATTAATAAGGTTAAAATAAATAATTTTGTTAAGTTGTAGCAATTTTATTTTTTATATGCATTATACCAATATTATACAGATTATTTTAATAATTTGGCCATAACCAGGGCCGGCTTAACACAAGCCCATGACAAGGGGCGCCAGGCTGCGGGCGGCGCCTATGCTTCTCCATAGAAATAAATTAATAGGAGTATTAGATTTGCATTGAATTACTACGTACAAAATATTATAGCAGGGACAGACCAAGGCGCCCATCGAAACTTTGGGTTGGGGAATTGGACCTTTAGATCAATACCGACAAAAAATAACAGATTTATGACTGCCATTATCTGGGTAACAATTTGACGAAACAGCGGTATGACCAAAACTTTCTAACATTTGTGACGTTTGTTGGTACCATAAAACTCCTTGTCGGCACAAACTTAAAAATTGTATTTTCCGAGTCTAGTCGGCTGGTTGTTCAGTTTTGTTATATTTTAAATTTTAATTTCGAATAACACTGAGGTAAGTCTAAATTAAAAATAACTTTGAAATCGTATCAATTTTACAATATTAAGAATTTAAAAATTTTTGTAATGTAAAGATTTTTAACATAAATCTTTACATTCCCCTATTTTGTCCAATTGGGGCGGTATTTCCAAAAATCCTTTCTCAGTGGGTGCTTATGACACAAAAGGAATCTACTATCCAGTGGCGGCTCGTGACTGTCTGATGTGGTGAGGCGATGATAGAAGTTTGACAATAATAGTAATATTACTTGGTCTTCTAGTTAGTAATGATAGAAGTCTTGCCTGAATACCGGTCATTCCCGGGTCAGTGGTAGGTCCTAATAATAATAATAATAATAATAATAATAATAATAACACCCATAACACATTGAATCAACAATGTTTTTACAAGTCAAAATTTTGTTGAAAGTAGCACTTTCTTGGAGGGATTCGGGAATAGTTGTTGTGTTCTTTTCTAAATGTTTTAAGCCAATGAAATTTTTAATGTGTACTTTGGAACTTTCATGTAACTTTGCACTTCGGAGGAAATTCTTGAAATCGTTATATCCCGGGATGTGTAAATATTACGGCAGAGCCATTTATTGTTTCGTAGGTACCAAGTTGATTTAAAAGACTTGGAGTACTGACGATTCTGTCGCTTATCAATGGGAGTTAAATGAATTAACTGTTTTGACTGCTCGATATTTAGCAAAATTTGTCGACGTTCTAGCTCGGTTCGCCGTGAGAACGGCGTTTCAAGAAGCAACATGACGATATCGTACTCGGGATTTATTTTTCACTCGCCTGTACTTATGAAAGAGACAATAACACAAAACACCAACACGTGGGTTTTTATTCACGTTCATGCTAATTACCTACGCACCCCGCAACCCTACCGTTCTGTAAAATAAATGGAAAAATGGTTTAATGAGTACGCCGAAATTGGCCGAGAAGCACCGAAGATATCGCCTCAGTTCCGAGCGAACGCATGTATAGGAGTATAGGAGCTGAGCCATGGAAATCCGTGTCTGTGATTGGGCTTCGCTGGCTGAAGTGAACCGACGTTCTGGCTGCTTCAGTTAAAGAACTAGGGGCATAAATCGTACGGTATTCAACGGAAAATGTCAGCAGGAAACGTAAAAAATAAAAAATTATGTACAGATTTCCCATTTCAACATATTTTTGTAACTAAAAATGCATTGAAAACTCTTTTTTAATTATAAATTAAGTCAATCTGTTCTTAAGATATATGCTGTGAGGCGCCGCCTCACTTGCCTCATCTGACGAGCCGCCACTGCTACTATCCAAATTTCATGTTTGTAGTTGCAGTAGTTCAGGCTCTGCGTTGATAGATCAGTTAGTCTGTCAGTCAGGACAAACACTTTTATATATTAAGATTGATTCATCATAATTTTATGTATGTTTGTTAATTAAAAGTATCTCTCTACAAAAATATGTGATTACAAAATTCTTTTTGTTTTTGTTTACAAACAATTTTTAAAGGTCGTTGAACAGTAAGTTGCATCGAGGCGCCTGGTCCCTTAGAGCTGGCCCTGGCCATAACGGCACTTTGACCCGACAGTGTATCTATAACAATGTTTCAGTCAATCATCTAACATGATACTTTCAACAAACATCATTGTAAATGCTTCCAAATGATCAGGGCCGCCGCTAGGACTTTTGGCGCCCGAGTGCAAGTTTGAATTTGGCGCCCCTCTTCAATATAGATGATAGCATTTTTTTAAGTAAAAATTGTGTCAAAATAAGTGGAAAATTAAGGGGCAATCTTTAACACGTTAAAATTAAAATTTATTTCGTATCAAATGAACAAACAAATAACTTTATCGAACACAAATCTATTTTGCTAATAAAAAACATAAATACATATTTATCCATATCATATAACTGAATACAAAAAAAAGAAACGAAAAAAAAAACTTAAAGTATACAAATAATATAATTAAATATTTTTTTTACTAAGCCAAATGAATGTTTCTAGATTTCATACTGGTAAATTCTGCGACTATTTTTTTTATGTCCAAATTGTCTAACAGTTCATATTCAATTGTAACAATAGACAAGTTATTTAGCCTGCCTTGATTCATAGTTGATCGGAGATAATTTTTTATTATTTTCAATTTTGAAAAGATTGCTGGCCAGATGCAACCGAAAATGGTGGTGTAAGCAAAATTCTTAATGTTATTGATGTATCGGAAAAGTTGAGATCAAATTGTTTTCACACAAATACGTAAAATTTGGTGGGATCTTCTAACGGTTTAGCTGAAG